AAAAATGGCCACCACTTCTGGAGGTGTGGCCAATGTCTAATAGGTTGGGGGACCCTACTGTGGTACCAAAATTCCTGCGTTCGAATTCCGGAGAAGGCATGGTGGTAACTGTCCGCCCCTTATAGCAGGCAACGGTGGCCGCACTATTAAGTACCTCCACAAAAACATGGCCACCACTTCTGGCCTTAGGAGTGGCCAATGTGGAATAGGCAAGAGCCATTAGATTAAAAAAAGAAAAAAAAAAGAAGAAAAAAAAAAGGAAAAAAACCACTTCAGTAAATTCAATGTTGATTCATTTCCAGAGAAAGTTTTCGCAGAATTCACATAACTAACCCTAATCTTCGAATACCGACATAGAAGACAAAATTATCATTTATTAACTTGCTTTGTGAAAATGGCAAATTTTGATTCAATCCGAAAAAATACTTCAGGGTGTTTTCAAATATAAAATAACATCTTTTGCAAACACATTCTACTTTTTTCTAGTTTTGTAAAAAGTCTTAAGCCACTGTAACATTTCTTGTCATTATTTTGAACACGATTGTAGGGTTACCGATTTTAATAATATAGTTAATAGAAATTCTATTACATATCGCAGTAAATTTTAGTTACTCTGATAACTTCAGTTGTACAGTACATCAAATAACAAGATTTCAGATCCAAAATCAACAGCTTAAAACTTTTATTAAGCCAACCTGTTGTGAATAAAATACTTGCTAATCATCACATATCCTTTTTCATAATGAAGCAAAAGTTGATATTACTGAGGTCCAGAAACAATTCTGATTTTGCTTCATTAAAAAACCATTTTTATACTAAAAAATAATTCAAATCAATAATGTATACCCCATTTTCTCCATGACCATATGCCATCTTCCAGAGCGCTTCATAATTTCACTGTCATAGAACTTCTAATTTTCTCCTGGAGGGGGAGGGGTATCTAAAAGCGGTTCAGATTTTAACGTCGTACCAGGGGGTTCATACTTCGTTGAGCTCGCAGTTTACCTGTCTGCTCTTGAACTCACTCCTACTCACATGAATTTCTTTTAAACTTTTATTAATATTTTCTTCGCATACAATAAAATCACAAAATTTTGAAAAACATCCTATCTTTAGAATTCCCGATACAGATGAGATACTGCTAGATTTTTTAAAACAGAAGGGCTTATTATACCTATTACCTGAACTTTTACGTCGAATTACTACTTTTGATCACTGTTTCACTTTTCAAATAAATAACCGATGCCATGGCCAGGCGCCTAAAATTTATTATAAATAGTAAAAAATATATAATGCTTTTAATAAATCTAACCAGTCTAATTTCACAAATCCACCTGGTAATTAATAAGAAATCTAGAGAACTGCATTTATAACTTTAAAATCGCTTATTTTGTATTCAATAACAGGCAGATCAAATTTGAAAGAAAAATTAAATATCTTAGCTTCGCTAAATGGCAACAAACTGACGTGTGGAAGTTACAAAAGTGATGTATATTGACTCCGGATTGAAATGGTGCAGTCACCATTCTTGTAATTTTTTTTTCCCAATTATGTAAATTCAAAGAATGTCTATCATGGGGTGTCCGTTAAATTTAAAAAAAAGAAAAAGAAAAATAGAAGTTTCACAGAGTAGGCGTAAGTTATAAAAGCAAGGAAAACGACTCTAAATTGCTGAATTTAGACCACATTTACATTACAGATCACCCTGGAGAATTTTAGATTACAAACATAATGTATATTGTTGCCTTTCTACAGGTTCGTGGATTTGCAGTGATTAACGACAACACTTGTTGAAGAATGAAAACACATAGTTTATTAATCAGTATTACTCAGGACAGTTTCAAAAACACGTACAGTTGTCGAAAAACTAAGACAAGACCGCTGAAACAATCAGGAACACAGTCTTGAGGCTATAACGGTGAAGACTTCACAGCAAAGCACTAGAGTACAACTCCCAAATTCGTTTGGTCGTTCTCAGATCTCAACGTACTCTCAAGACACTCCACGCTACAACTCATGATGCACTCGATAGCCTCAACAATGCATCAGATCGTGATACACTCAAACACTAGACTGGCGATACTCATTCCTACTAAATTTACAGGCAGGGTTTATATAGCTTTTGGCCTGCCTTCGAGAACATTCTGGACAAAACCAGTAAGAATTCATTCTAGAATGTTCTTCATCCATCTATGGCTTATCGTCAATTTTGTGTCCGAATGGGTGATATTGTGGCAAATCTGGCAACCCCGCCTTCCCTTGCCATTTCTGGCAACCCTAAACATGCCTTGCGGGGGAAATTTTGTAACAATATTATAATCATGATCGCTAATACTTTTATTATTAATTAAGGAAAGTTTTTCAAACAATTTTTTGACTAGCTTACAGTATATACTTCTAAGCTGCCCAACATTTAATTCTTCATGTATTTTATTGTTATAATCATACTAAGATGCATTGCATATCTGTTGAAGAACAATATTTTGTGCAGTCTCTAATTGCTTCGAATTAGTGTTTCGCACATGCCCACGCAGGGAAGTTATAAGAAAACATGATATGCAAGATGGCTTTGGAAGGGGTAGTTTGTTAGAATGCTGTATCAGCAATTAGAAGGATAAGTGTTTGCTTTACGTGCTCAATACTTCCGAAAAATGGATGCAATGTATGGGGTCTATGTGAGAGTATTAGCAACGATCACCTCCAGATAAGACATTTTATATCAGATACCTTCAGAATTTCCAATAGCGTGTTAAATGTTGCCATATATTTTTTAGTATTCCCTATATTACTTCTTTAAAAATAATAAATGATAATATTTGGTGACAGAGTTCTTTTATATGTGTTGCCATACATTGTTTTATTCTTGTAATGTTATTTCTTGATAAATAATACATAAGCACAAAACAAATATTCTAATGGTTCAATTTTAAGGTATTGCACTATAACAGATATAACAACACAACCATGCTGCAGTAAATTGCAACTAAAGATTTCTGTGGTTTGCCATTATATTACAAACTACATTCATTTTCACAGTAACTAATTTATTTGTGATCAACAGTTATGAACCATTTTAAAAATGATCCTCAAAAGCAAATTAAGACATCTTATGGCAAATGAATTCCTTTAAGTTAACATGGGATCCAAATACCATTTTTTTTTTTTAAATTTGTTTGCAATGAAACTTTTTCAAATAATTTTTAGTGACCATCATGGATGAATTTAGACTATCAGAAAGCTTATATGGAGATATGATAATAGGCTTCAACTAGCACTTTTAATTTACGATCAAGAATCTTAGTCGATCACCACTAGAATGAAATTTTGCAAATGATTATGATGTGTGTACTCCTTTACTGCAACCTCACCCTGCACAACACATAATATTTTCATATCAATCTGCAACTCTTTCACATTTGTGAAAATAAATTTAAAAAAAAAAAATGACAAAAAGACTGATTTTTAAAATCCATCTTTCAACACAAACAACTACAAAAATGTTCCACAATTTTGTTACATTTTATGTAAAACACATAATATCTTATTCCTCACACATAATGATGTCACATTCCATGCGCTGCACCGAAGAATTGGGAGGACCTCTGACCACTGTTGAGGTTACCCGCAATCTGCACTAGATGAGATCGATATTTCAATCACTGTACTCCAGATTATAGAGAGATCCATTGAAGAAAGCAACTTTTTGCTACAGAGCAAGCCACGCACTCTGTTGCCATGTCCACTGAAGTCAGAGGTGTCTTTGATTCAGTGACAAAGAAATCCTGCAAAGAGGAGTCCTTGCATGCAGTTTATGCGACAGCAGATGGTGACGAAACGTGGACCTAGACAACAAAACACCTGTAACTTCGTTCCAATGTTGTGGTAACACGTGAGAGGATGCTGAACGATCCACCACAGCCGTGTGAACGAGGTGTCTGTTGTTCCATGCCGTTGTGCTATTTCTCGTTGTGTGTGTTTGGAAGAAATGGACCTTCCAAACACACATCAGTGTTGTGGCATTACTATGCACCCCTGTCCATTTCTTCCAAACATGCATCACTGTTGTGGCATTACACTGCATGTGGGCTCCAATTGCTCAATTTGAAAGTCCACGCTCTTGCATACCGATGATGCAGTCTCGTTCAAACTGTTAGTTGTTGGTATGGCACCCTCTGCAGTTGACAAAGCATACTTACCAATAATTAAACATTCACTGCACATAGAGGATGATAAACAGATTTTAATGCAAAGGTACAATCCTTTATATTAGCAACCAGGTCTCATCCCACGCATGCGCAATTGCGTTGTACTTCTAATCATTTGCATGTCTTACCTCACTTTACATTTCCTGTAAGTTTGGTTCAATTTCCATAATTCCTTCATGATGCTGCAATTTTCACAAACATTAGAGTAGATTAAAACAACATTATCATCTAACAAAGTTCTGAAAAGAAATTTGTTATATTTTTAATTATTAGAAATGTCAATGCTGCCCTCGATTCTGTAAACCTGTACAATTTACAAAAATTCCTTACATGAAAATATTCTAGCAAATTTATATCTTATTTATATCTTATCTGTAATTTAATCTATATCTTTATTTATATCTTATTATCAAAAGTAAAATTACTGTTTTCTCATGAAGCTAATATAAAGCAACAAAGTATTTTCATCATTTTCCCTTGCACAATTCTGCTTATCTAAAGTTTTGTAAAAGTATTATTAGAATCTAGTTTTAGTATCTATATTAACTTATGCTATTATATCTACGGATTTTCATTTTTTTTTTTTTTTTTTTTTTGCTGTTTTTATTTGTTTTCAATGCATCTTCCTTGAAATAAAAATTTTGCAGATTTGTGGTTTGAACAAATAAGATTTTCGAGATAAAAAGAATAACTTAAGGTCATGTGCATATTCATTCAGTTTCAGAAATAAAATAAATAAATAATTGTATCACTTTAAAGCTAAAAGTAAATATCTTTCAAAGAACAAACAGCAAGTATTTTAAGAAACATTGTTGAAAAATTTCATTAACATACAAAGCACAACTAACAATTATAAACATTTCTCAGTTCGAAAAAAAGAAATATAACCATTTGTTCTCATACCCACATAAAGCATGGCTGGAAATGAAACTTAAATATTACATATTAAGTTGGATATATTAAATAACAAACAAAACCAATTTTTTAATCAAAAGATAAAATTATTTAAATAAATAAATAATTTGCTACATAAAATTGCATTAGATATACCAACAACCTATATTTCTATTGAGTAACAGCTGCAAAAATTAAAAGAAAAGATTTTGTAATGTAAGACCCTGGGCAAATTTGAATGCTTTTATTCATTTTTCCAATAAAACTGTTCTTGTGTATTTAAATTTGATGTCACTCAATCATTGTTGAAAGGGGAAAAAATTTATTTGCCTGACAGATAAACTTAGATGACAATCATTCCTTTCCCTTTCAAGTGACATAATCATACTTATTTACAATATTAAAATGCAATATTACAAAGAAGTAAAAATGCAATAATGCTAAACAGGAAAAAAAAATTTCTTGGAAAAAAATCAAGAAATTTTACATTAGGCTTTTAAAAAATCAAGACCTCAGAATTTGTTTAGTTTTGAATGATATCAAACTACTTGGACAACTATATAACTATATTTAAAAAGGAGTAAAATAATATTACATCTGAATTTTTAGCTCAAATAATTATACTAATAATTGAAACTTATATAACACTTTATTTTGATAGAAATATACAAAAGCAAGAAATAATATAAAAGATAATATTAATGATTTTTAAATAATTTAATTCCCATTAAACAAATGTTCTAAATAAATATCTACAAGCTTGAGAATATTTATTCTGCAAGCAAGTTATAACTGATCAGAACAAATGAACTTGTTAAAGTTAATGCAAAATACATATATCTTTACATTCATTAAAAACTTCATATAAAATACATAAATACAAATGTTTTATACGTACATATAAATGTTACAACATTTAGAAGTTACTTCATACATTTAACTAATTATCCCACTTTCTGCATAAAACTGTAACAATCGAAAATTTTGAGGAGATTTATTAAAAATATTTTCTGACTCAAATTTAAGAGAATTATCATCTAGGAGTTTAAATTGATATATAAGAACAAAATCAGTTAAAATGTTAATGAAGAGTATTAAAGCTGCATTGATTTAAAAAAAAGTGTAACATTTCATCTGGTGTTAAATTAACAGATGTACTTCAGCAATACATAAATTCTTAATTAGTACATTTATTTATATAATTAGACAGTTTTTGTGAATATGCATACACAATACATCTACATACACCTACAATATATGCAAAATACATAACAAGTTCCATACAAGTAATACTTTACAAATGGAAACTTTCAGAGTTCTCTGAACTAAATTTCAGTTCTTTCCATTATGCCTTTCATTATCCTGTTTTCGTTCATCTAATTTGTTCAGATATTTTTTCCACAATAATAAATAATTTCTTCTGAAGATTTTTCATTTGTCATTTAGGAACAGAAAAATAACAATTTCAATGAAAATAACACAAACATGAAAAAATATATTTAATTTATAAATGGCACATTGTAAATATTGTGCACCAACCTATATAATTAAACAGGAATTAAAAAACTATTTGCTGTGTATACTAAATTTTTATTAGTGAAAACAAATTTAATTTCAAAAACCCATTTTAAATATCTGACGCTTGTTGATTATTCTGCACATCCCCATTCACAATAATTCTTGCAAATTTGAGCAACCATAGAAACAATCGGATTCTTCTGTTTCCTTTTACTTTGTTTCCTTGTTAATGTTCTCTTTCTGTGGTTTTCTTTTGGCTACAAGACAATGGGTACAATCATTTTTTCTCCCTAATGTCAAGTTTGATTCCAAGAATGGCATCCATATGCAAACAATAAAATATAATTGGAAGATAGAAGAAAAGTGGTCACATGGTAGATCAGACTTCACACAGTGTTGGAAACAAGCTGCAGAGAATAATCTGTTTGATACCAATTTAAATATGATTACTACCCCCCCAAACAAAAACTGGAGGGGGAGGGGTTTCATTACCAGATGGCACTAATAGATTGTTCACTGTGCAGCAGTGAGTGCTGAATAACTAACAGGTAAAAATACTCTTTAAAAATTTAAGATTAGTCAACAGATGAAAATGGAAAACATAATATTATTTGAATTAACTATGTAAATAACTTATTTGTCATAATATTTTATTAAATTTAAATATTCAGAATATATGACTAGAATATTTCAGAAAATATTTTCTTTACATAAGTGTAAAGCCATACACACTTAGTATTTTGGAACTTTCCCTAAAACAAATATTAGCTCTGATGTAGCAGAAAGAAATATACCCAGAAGTTTTAAATTATTGAATATTCACAAAAAATTTCAAGTACCTAATGTTAAAAGAAATGTAGTGCAAATTTTATGAGATGGAAATTTTAAATACCCAATGACAAGATAAATGTCATCATACAATATATAAAAATACCTATTTGTACTTTAAATTAACAAATTCACTCTTAATCACAGAGTTTACCTGTTTCACACAATACATTTTGTCTTATCAGAAAAGGGTATGTATTTTGATAATGTTATTCAGAACATTTCTTGTCTTCACTATTTGTAGCCTCATCAAATGGTTTAGAAGGATTTTTGGAAGTAACTGGAAATTTTGCATTTCCAGAGGATATGGGACTCTGAGATGATTGCTCAGGGTTCGATGACAGCCATTTTGATAATGTCTCATCTTCGGTCACAGACAGATTTCTTACTGTAAAAGTATTAGCTGCAGATGAAGAATGATTTCCATTTGATGAAAATGATGCCAAATAATTAGCGGGAATGAGACCGGCTTCTTTATTTTTGTTGCAAGCAAGCAGCCATCCTCTTGCAACTGATGTCCTAATACCTGTTTCAAAAAAAAAAAGTGTTAAATTTGTAAATATTTACATTGCCAATTACCACTGAATACTGTTGTTGCAAATTTGTACATGTCTACATTTTGGATATAAGCACTCATTTGTTGTGTATTTGCATGGATTTAGTACATAAAATTTTATATGTATTTAACAGGCTTTGTGGTATTCTCTAAGTGCATAATTAGAAAGTATACCTAACCAATTGCAGCCTATAAATAATTCAGGAAAACTATATCTTTCAATTTAATGGACTTGATAACTTTCTATGGTGTGCAGTGTAAACACTGTGGGGAAAACAATGCACGAAGAAAACTTCAGCATACATCATAGAAAAAAGAAAACAAGAAAAAAACATCACAATTCTAAAACATACCGGTAGAAAAAAAAAAGGGTTAAAAAACATTGCAGTTTTAAAATAAATGTATAAAACACTGCACATACAAATCATTGCATGTTGATAATATGACAGACATGTACTTAATAAATTAAAATTAGGCTTTAACTTTTAAATACCTGTTCACATAATGATATGTGAGCACAAAACGAAATGAAAAATATTTTTACCTCTATATTTCATATTTTTGAAAAAACTAACAAATTTTTACTTAAGAAGTAAGAAGGAAACTTAAGCACTTGAAATCTAAAAACGTGTAGAAATTAAAGTATACAGCAATTAATAGAATATTAAACTTATATAATTAACTATTAAAAGTAATTATTTGATTAATCTCTCTTACAAAGTTGTATTTTTAGATTTTCATAAAACATATATCATAAAATTGATTAGAAAAAGGGAAGTTGAATTACTGTAGGACTTTACCTATACTAAAACTGTTTAATTATCAAATTATCTAATATTATCATCCAACGATTCGTATGCCTTTATTTTTAATTATGATGTATTTTATGGAACCATGTTTTAAAACTATAAACTTTTTAATTGCTTTACTTTCTACAACAATGCTTTAAAACATGGGTGTTTAAAGTGCGGCCCAAATGCAAATTATGAAAGTATTTAAATTTACACATTTTTATTAAAAAAATAAATGTTTGAATTTGATTCATACATAATCGATTCATTGGCATTTACTTTAAAATAAAAATATCTTAGTATGCCATGATGGTCTTAACTGCAAAGTGACATTCAACTGAAAGAAAAATCTGAAAATGTTTCTTTACTGGAGTTTTATAAAGATTACCTACCCCCCACCCCCGATAAATATCCTAATTTTCACAATCATGCTTTATTAATGTCTTCAGCTTTTGGCAGTACCTATATTTGTGAACAATTATTTTCAAGAATGAAGCATACAAAAAAGCAAAAATAGGACAAAGATCACTGACAAACATCTTGAAAATGCATTAAGAATTGCAACTTCGTCTATTGACCCTGATATCAATTTGCTTGTTCAACAAAAGCAAATTCATCCACCTCATTAATTTGAATTTTTTCAACTTTAACAAATTCAAACTTTTACAAATTAATAATAAATATGTACCTATACATATCTAATTCAAATTTAAAAAATGAATAATAAAAAGAAGTTAATTTATTTTAATAAAACAACATAAAGCTAATTTTTATTTCAATTTGATAAAAAATATTGTATGTGTGGCCCCACAAATATGTTTTCTTTGAAATTCTGCCTCGAAAATTTTTTTCCTTTGCAATGCGGCCCCAAACGGTCATAGTTTAGACCCCCATGCTGTAAAATATGATGTTTTTTCATTGCTTTCTTTTCTCCCAGGATGTTTTGTATAATCATGTTTTCTTTGAATTCTTTTCTCCAAGACATTTTTGTCCTCATGTTATATAAGGATTAAAATCATGGCTTTTGATCAAAGCTCAATGAAACAATTTGCAGTTTTATTGCATATTTTGCCAAGTTGCATTTTTTGCATTGCATTCCAGAAAATTATAGAATTTATATTTGATGGGAATGTTTCATTAATACTGTTAGTATTTTTGAAGTTATATTCTTTATTAATTACACTTAGCATAGTAGTTTTCGGTTGAGTTTAAGGTCCTTACCACAATACTATTTATATGGCAATAAAACAGGCAACTACCATGCAATAATAAATTAATGAAATTTTGACTTGAAAAATATATATTTCAGCAATTTCTGAAATGAACTAATGTAATGGGAATTAATTTCATAAAGAACAAACAATATAAGCTAAAGTAAATGATAGATCAAACATTTAGAAAAATTCTACATTCTGATCCAAATTTTGAATAAACATGAATTTTATATACAAGAAACAATTTTACAAATGAAATAAAAATTCAATTTTAATTTTAGTCTCATTAATCTCATTTTTTTACTAAGAATTCTTCTTTCCATGTTTCTTCTATGTTTAGCATTTATAATATGCTGTTTTATTTCAGTCAAAATGAGCTGTGCAGCCATTAATTGGTGGCTTCTGGAAAATAATTAGTTATTAAAAATATTTTTAACATCAGCATCTCTCCTTAACAGTCTGGCTTTTAATGACAGAAATCCTAGACATAATGCCTTGATAGTAATCTTGGTTTCAGTGTAATATGCATGAAGTCTTGTGAAATCATCAAAAGACTTCATATTTTGGTGAAATGCATGCAAAGTGTATCGATGATCTTCATTAGTAGCTTGTCGCATGTTCTTAATGTTTTCCTCTCCATAGAATTCAAGTCAAGACAAACTCCATACGACATTCTTTCCATTTTTTAAACTGGAAAATCTCTCTTACACTTGTAGTTTACTCAAAGAATCATCTTTAAAGGTTTGCAAAGCACAATAATGCTCTCAGCTGCAGTTTTCTTCAATAAGAAATGAAATTTCACGCACACTCTTTGCTCTTTGTGATCACGTATCACAAAAATGGTTGAGCATTACCTAAGAAACCTAAGAAATTACACCTAAAATGAAGTCCGCCAGTCAAATTGGCACCACTTAGCAAATACATTTGAGAAATTCTAAGTTATTAAGTCCCACCAGTAATGTTTTACGTCCCAGCAGTACTGTTCACAATTATGAAATATCTACCTACAATACTCTCAATTTCAGCTATATTTCCATGCCCTAGGTACACTTTCCCAATTGTTGCAATAATTATATACCCAAAATCTACTTAAACATATACTCAAGTGTGTGTATTTGTAAGAACTGTCCACACTGCTGATCAAAAAGTAAAAGCATATTATTTTTTATAACCATGTACTTACTACCAGCAAAGAGAATAGTAACTACGTACTTACTTGGCTGATGAAAAAAAAGTTAGACTGATCAGAAGAAGGGGGAAAAAAAAGACAAAGAAATAAAAGGGAAAAAAACTGATTGTAAAGCAATCTAAATTTAAGGTACAAAGCATAGGCGGATAACCCTTAATGACAGTATTGAAATTTAAAACACACAAATATTAAAATATACATTTGAACATCTGTAGCTATTCTTTGCTAAAAAAATATGAAACATTAGTTAGTTTAAACTATAAGATTAACATGCTGTATATTGACTTAAAGTAAATTTTAAAAAATCTGATGTGGGCACCAAATAACTTCCTTGTACGGCCACACACATTATTAGCCAGCGGGCAGGATGACAGATTTTTTGGTACACAAGTTTGATAGCTTACTTTTGGTCCCACAAGGCAAAAAGGCACTGAAGTTAGTGCACAGACTTAAAATTCACTTTCCTTCTAGCAGCTTCAAATGTCAACAAAAGGCAGCTTCATTACATTTAATTCCACTTAACAACTTTAGATTAACTAAAGGCATAAAAATCTTAACTATACAACAAAAAACACTTAGTATTTTTTGCAGTTAAATGAAAGAAAATAACTTTACATATTGCTATTATTTTAAAATTTATACAACTGTAATTACAGTATAAAAACATTTAACATATAAATCTAGTACATAAGAAAATGCAGAAAAGCAATTTACATTGAAATTTCAAAATGATAATAGGATAAAAACACAAACACCTTACTTAATATTCTGAGCTGTACAACTACTTTTATCCATCCAAGAGGGTTCTTTTCAATTATTTTACATTACCTTGGCATTTAAAATAAATGGTTTTCTCGCTTTCTTTAATGATCTAATAAATCTCATCATAATGAATGGAATGTTATAAAAACAAAGAATAAAACAATGAATTAATTATTTAAATCTAGCTAATAAATGTTAGTTGAACACATACTTCATTAACAATAGAAAAAGCCATATCATTCAAAAGTTAAAAAAATATAGACTTGACAGCTAATGTATAAATGCAGTGATTCATTGAAAAAAAAATATGATTAAGAAAGGAGAAAATATCTAACCTTTAGGAGCTAAATATAATTTTTCTCCAGCAGAGAAAGATAATTCACCAGGTCTAGTTGCAGTGAAATCATATGCAGTCACTGCAAAAGCCAACTTGCCATCTTTAACCCAAGTACTTGGATCTGCAATTTAGTAAATACTCTTAGTGCATAAGGTATACATATATATCAAAATACAAATAAGATTCATGAAGCACCATTCCAGTCTATAATGTACACCCATAATTCCAAACTATATTTAAATTTTTTTTAGTATATTTGTCATATAATGCACACCTTTCTCTATATAAAGAAACTTGAAAGGTTTATCTGTGATGCTCTTATCTTTTGAAGTCATTCATTCTAAGATTTTCCCCAGGCTTTCAAACAATGGTATACTGAATTGACAAGTGATAAAGGGAACAATATGCACTTGGGGGGAATCCTTGAGGGAGTACAAAATTCTACCATGAGGGAGCATTATATTCAATGTAGGCATGCACAAGAACATTATTCTATGGTTTCAAGAAAAGGGGGACATAATTTGGGATAAGAATGCATTTCTGATACAAATGAATTTGTGGAATTGGGAGTCAGATGTTTTCTCTTTTTGTAGTCATTTGAAGCGTGATTTTTAAGTGAACATCAAAGGCTCATGTAAAGCAAAGTCATTCAATTTGGGGGAAAAATGGAAATTGTGCTGCGGTAAGGACGTTTGGTGTTGGTGAAAGCTCCATACATGAGTGGAAGAAAAATGAAATCACAATAACATGCCATAGAATAAATATGCTCTGTGTAAAGATGGGTTACACTAGAAGAAAATGCTGCAAACTGGATCCTAGAGAATCGTCAAAATGGAATTATTGTAGCAAGAAACTGTGTTCGTTTATTTGCTTTAAAGTGGGCAAAAAAGAATGTAAACAAAATTGAAAACATTAAACCACCTTCGAGTTGCTTCAGTTGATTTATAGCATGGATTAATTTAGTTCTATGAGAAAAAACAAAAGTTCCACAAATGCTTTTGGCAGATTAGGACACTAAACTGATAAGTTTCCAGAAGTAAGTTTATTGACCTATGAAGGCAAAAAATTACATACTATCCCATATTGGAAATATGGATGAAACTCTAGTAATGTTTCATATGACAGGAAATAAAACTATTGATGTGAAAGAAACAAAAACAATTCACATAATAATAGGTCACGAAAAATCTCACTTCACCATAGTGCTTTATTGCTTAGCAGATGGTAAAAATTTAAATGTATGGTTATTTTTAAAAGAAAGATTATGTTGAATGCAATTTTCCAAATGGTGTTTTTATTCATGCTCAAGAGAAAGGATGGATGGATGAATGTGGTATGAAGTGTTTGGCAAAAGCATCTTAAGAAACTGTTGAAAGAGTGTAATACAGACATAGCAGTTATTCCAGGCAGATTAACACTATTAGTTCAGCTTAGAGGTAAGAATAAAAAAAAAAACAGTCAAAGAAAATTCAAAACGGCAGTGAAACGTTTCTTTCAAAAACTAAACGGCAGAATGTTAGAACATGAAAAAAAAATTTCAAACATACAAAAGGAGGCCAAATGCATCATTCCAAGCTAGATGAAATGGAAGATGATTATTTATTTATGGATCAAGGTAACAGTGATGGTGAATTTGATGGTATGCTTGAAGATATAACAGAAGACAAATATAACAAACGTTTCATGTTATGTGATAATGAAAATCTTAAAGTTCACAAGGTATGTCATTTCTTTTAAACACAGCATTTAGGTACATCTAGAAATCTAATTTTTGTATTCTCATCTCTTCCTTATTTTTAATCTATCATTTTTATATACGGTGTATAACGCATACCCATAAATTTGGGTTTTATTTTTTATCTTTGTTTGTTTAAAAAGGTACATTATATGCTGGGATATATGGTAATTACATCATCAATGTTTTTCCACTGCCAGAATTAAATCACAGAAGAGTTTGATGACACAAAAGGGTTATTTTTCCCTCAAAAGCTCGTTTTACATTTATATAAGACTATGACAAAATTATATGAAATACTTACTGCATGTAATACTGAAAAAGAACTTGCATACCAAATTCAAAAAGATATTTCGAACATGTTGAAAAATAAAATAAAATAAAATTAACTTATCAGCTTAAATATTAAAGACTATTTTTAAATAATATAAGAATACAATGTAATATTATTTTTGAAAGCAAAATTTATGTAATTCTGCACAAACTATATAAGTGTGTTTTAATTAGATGAGGTTACATTATAAAAAAAGTTCTGAAAAATAATTTTCTCCTCTTTTCCTAATACAGTTATTATAAAAAGAAATATATGTATACAATGATTATTTTAATGTGGCCAGTTGGTATAATTTCATAAAAATATTCAATGTTTTTAATTAGGTATAATATGAAATACCTGTAGTTTTAATTAAATCATTTAGATAAAATTTTTTTTTAAATATGATTAGGAACTGCATTTATTGCTTTCAAATTGCTTAGTTCATTATTCAATAATAGTTGGATCAAATTTTAAAATGGAAATGGAGTATGGTAAAATATATATACAATACAAAGCCCGAGAACCAGACGTCCAATATCCGGAATGATCTAAAATCCCGACCTAAAATCACCAACAACCTTTTTTTTAATCCCCCCATAATAAAACATGTGGAGAATCTTGATTCTTAATTTCACTTCCGCACTAAATAAATTTCTTATAAATATCTTGTTATTGAAGAAACAATAATTTAATATAAATTTGTATAAAAGATTTGGCTTGGTATCTGCGCATCTGCTTAGCATACATCTCAAACCAAAACATTCTACATAAAAATAATATTTTATATTCCTGACATCAACCTGGCAAATAAATTATTTATTACATTTTGCTTTCATCATCACATGACAACTTGAGTTATAACTCATTCAGTGATACGCAAACAATTTTTTTATATTAGTAATTTAATAACAAAGGGTACGGTAACCTTTTATGTCAACATTACGCTTTTGGAAAGCACTGGGATCCAAAATTTAGGGACAAAAATTTAGAACTCAGGCACTTGGTAGCAGAATTTAGGACCCACAGAGACTGCATCAGTTGGTAGGATATCTAGCACTGGACCTCGATGAGCCTTAAGTATATGTTGAAATTTATTCAGGACTCAGATAAGCCTTAAGCATGTGTAAGAAATAGATATAAGTATAATAAATAACTAATGCAATTCAGGCTTAACTGTCTCAGCACGCGATAGAAGCAAGACCAAATTTAGCTGAACAACTTGTCTTTTGGCACCAGTCTCATGACACATAGAAAATAATGTACAGCAGACACCATTAACCCTTTCAGGACGGGCGTCCCATATACGCATTCCCTAAGAACGTCTCTTACAGCCGGGCGTCCCATCCACGCATCCCTAGAGACTGCATTCAGAGGAGGGGTGATGCGTATATGCATTTTAAGCTGGAACGTTTTTCTGAAGGCCACTAGATGGCATTCTATGTCCATTACGTTTGAAATGAACACAGTTTTAGGTTCCTGACCATGAGTTTGATATATTCTGTCTGACTTTGGTATTTTACTCATCAACTGTTGTGAGGGTGGGGGGGAGCAAAAGCGTAAACAGAGGTGGGCTCTTTAATACCTCGCGTGCTAATGTAAACATTCGCGTGTCTGATTTATATCCAATTACTTTTTTAATTCTATTTTTTCCTCTACTATACACAGTCTTTTAGGGTTACTATGTGGAGTTCTCAGTACAGTTTTGCATTGCCTTCAGATATATTTCCCGTTTCTTCCTCTTTTTATTTCTGAAAAGTCCTTCACGCTCCAATGTCTATTATGGGGCGAAGGCGCTATTTATCAGAGGAAGAATACCTTCGTATGGTTAATGAACCATTTACTAATGCAGATGAGAGTGATGATTCTTTTTCTAAAGATTTAAAAAGTGATACTTTTTCTAAGAGTTAGAAAGTGATACTACGATTTTGAGATTTACCACAGTCTTCATTTTAAATTTTGTTACTTCTTACTGCAAATAGACTTTATTGTGTTTTTTTATTAATTTTAGACTTTATTGATGGATTTTATCAATTAAAACTTTGGAATAATTTGAATAGTGCTTCCGAAAATTATTTTACAAGACAAGGAAATTTTTAAGTATATTTTCACGTAGAATAAAGAAAAAAACGTTATTAAGTGCTAATTTTAACATATATAAGACCGCAAGTAATAATCTAAAATGATACCAAAAATTACGAGGCTAGAAGCGAAATTTCTTTTTTTCTGATTTTTTTTATAAAATTAGGCTTAGCGATGCAAAACCTCCATCCTGTACGGTGACTGCATTCGATTCCCTTCAGTCCCGCAGGAGCATCTTAAACAAAGGTGCGCCGTCGTGAAAAGGTTAAGCTACGCTAAAATTATACTTTACTTTTTATTTCCAAAAAAATTTCAGTCAATATAGCAGTTTGTGCTGTTCCTTGTGCTGTTAATTTTCTGATTTCATCTAGCTTATTATTTTTTTGCAGACTGTTTTCATTACAGCAGTTTAAAAATTAAATTTAACTTTTGATTATGTCAAAAGAGTTTCTAATTCTAGAACTGCAACATGATCTACAAAGCAAAAGCATGTTTCGATGTCCATTAAACAAAAAGCGGAATTGCTGCAAAAAATGGATGAAGGCATATCTGTCGTCTCAAAATCATGCGAGGAGTATGGCATTGGAAAGTCAACTGTGTTTGACAGAAGAAAACAGAAAAAGGAACTTTTTGAATTTTTTGTGGATTTCAACACCCCACTTGCAATGAATAACAGAAAAATTATTCGTTATGCTAAAAGTGAAGATCATGACAAAGTGATGACTGAATGGGTCAGACAGTGTCTCAGCAAAGATGTGAAATTGACAGGTCCAATGCTAATGGCTCAAGCCAAAATATATCATGAAGAAATGAACTTAAAAACTAAGTGCACATATTCGACTGGTTGGTTAACCAAATTTGAAAATCGAAATAAGGCAATTAAAAGTTTCAGGTGAAAAAGCTTCAACTGATACTGAAGCTGATGAATTATTTTCAGATGAATTCACTGAACTCATTAACAGTGAAAAGTTATCTCCAAAACAAATTTATGATGCTGATGAAATTGGAATTTTCTGGCAATATGTAAGCAAAATACCTTGGCAATCTTTACAATAAAAGCTCCAACTGGTGTCAAAGGTTCCAAAACAAAAATAACAATTTTAGCAAATGCAAATGCTGCAGGAATGCACAAGTGTAAATATTTCGTAATCGGAAAAAATACACAACCTCAAGCACTTAAAGTTGTAAAGATATTCCCCGTTATATATCATGCAAATAAAACAGCATGGATGACACAAGTGTTACTGAATGATTGGTTTGAAAATCATTTCATACTCGAGGCTCGGACGAATTCGGTTGGTTTACTTGATGACACAAAAACTATCCCGATTGCAGACAACTGTTCGGCTCATACTTCACTTAAAGCTTTAATGAAGTATTATGTATCTGTATCCTTTCCTCCAAACTGTAAGTCTAAATCAGCCAGCCTATGGATATCAGAATAGTGTGCACATTGAAGTGCAAATATAAAGTAGAATTTTTTAAATCCATGTTAAATTTTTTGAATAATGACAAGAGTATTCAAGAATTGTTGAAATATTTTACCATAAAATCTGCTGTGTGGAGCATTGCAAGATCGTGGGAGGATGTATCTCCAGATACTTTAAAAAATACTTGGCATAATTTATGGCCAACTACCATATTTCATGGTGAGGAGGGCGAATATGATTGCCCCGAACTTGAAGGTTTTCAGATAGCGCAAACCAAAAGGGAAATTTTCCGGTTAATCGATTTTGCATAGAAATGTGGTGAACGGATAATAAATTATGATATAACTGAAGTTTTTCATTGCGGTCACAATGCCCCAATCATCAATCAATCACTGGACCACGAAATCTGTAGTATGGTTCTAGATCCAGAAAATACTGTTACCGATAATGAAAAGTGACAAAAAGGTTACTGAAAAAGAAAGCAATTACAGGACTTGAACAATGGAACTTTGTAAATGAACATGAAATTATGTCAGTCTACCATATTAAAGAGAAAATATTAGCACAAAAAAAGCAACTTAAACAACTTACATTGAAAGAAAAGTTTAATAAAGTAAATAAATAAATATTAAGCTTTTTTTGTAAATTTTGATACTCTTTAGATCAAGAATGTTCATTATTTCATTAATCATGATTTCATATTTTTAATTTTATAATTTCTACATGCCACCTTTTAACAGTTTTAAATTGTTAATCTAATATCCGGAAAAATCCGAAATCTGGAATCGCTGAAGTCCCGACGAGTCTGGATCCCGGACTTTGTACTGTATATATATTGGACAGTAACAATACATTTCTTTATCACTGAATCTTTTGATTAAATCTGAATGATAAATATTGACTTTGCCAAGTGACAATATATTTCTTTTAAATTTTTTAAGTTTTCTAATTAAATTTGAAGCATAAAAATCTTACACTTTATCGAATGGCAATACATTTTTATTACATAGCCAAGTTTGTTAATAATAATTCATAAAATTTACACAAAGTATGAAATAAATAGGAAACTAATTTTAAATTCAAAATTCACACTTTGAAGTGCATATGTTCAGGTGATGTGTGTTCAAAATTTGGTAGTTCTAATCTGATGGCTCTCATTTTCTACAATATAATGAGCATGCATACACACATCTAAAAATTCTTTATTATTTAACAATAGAGATAAAACACAATTCCATTTCTTGAATACTAGTAAGGAGCTAAAATTTCTAATTCCCAGCAAGAACACTGAATCAAGAAAATGGTATACTTCATGTAACAAGCAGATATACATAAAAAAAAGACAAAATTAACTCTTCTGAATCCACGATGATACAAAAACACAAATCCCATAAGACCACATTCTTACTACTGTGATATAGATGCAGTCTTTTTTTAGCTCTACTACCTAAGCAAATTTCTAAAAAATGTAACAAGACAAAGTATCAGATTTTTGTAAACTTTTAATTAGTTCACTCTTGGTCTTTGTTATTATAATCAAAAGTACAGCAAGTTCCTGATATGCTATCGAGTTTACATTTTGCACATAAACTGTATACATTGTAAGTAACGATTTAACGTGGTGAATTAATTTTTTAAAGCGAATGTTAGAATTATTATTAAGCATATCTTCATTTAATAAACAAAATTAAAATTTCATAAATTTACTGTATGCACCATCGAATAAAGTAGGAAAAATTCTTTTAAATAAAATTTGTATGATATTTATAATGTGATCTGATTTTTCGATTAATTTTCAAAAATTGTCCAGGATTTAAAAATTTTCAGCTCTTAAAAATGTATTGGTTACACAGTTTTGAAATTTCTGCAGATGATAAAACACACTCTTCACCCTCTTTTAAACAAAGTTGGGTGAATTTCTACATTTTTTTTTTTTTTTTTGGTCAGGGGGGGAGAGATTTTCTACAATACTTTTTTATTAAGTATGCTACAATATGAAACAGGAAGGGAAATACTGGTTCTTGAATTTAAAGATTATGTTATTATATCATAAATTTTCTTGCTCTTACACAGAATTTTCTAAAATTCTGTCTATTTATTTATACATCAATTTCACTGTCTTTGCTGCACAGAATTACTTGTAAATAAATTAAGGTTACTTTAGAAGTCTTTAGATATTTTGATAAATACTGTATCTCTGCCCTTTTCTTACAGACAGATTTTGTATTTACGTTTCCTTTCATTTAATTAATCTAAAAAAACAACAGGACTGATTAGCATTTAAAATTATTTGCAATACATCATTTTACATTTTCCGTAACTTAATGTATATTTTTCTCAATATTTCTTTTTAAAAGCCGAATTTCTTAATTTTATTGTGATATATAATATTATATTTTTTAAGTGCCTTCAAAATTATAACATCCAAAAATACCTTTGTTATAAAGATTTAAAATTTTCAGGGTTATAAAGCAAACTCTTTAACCCCTTTTAAAACAAGAATAATAAATCAAGAATGATATTAATTATGTGACTTTCTAGAACTTTTTAAAATTAGTCTAATTTTAAGCTTTTATTTAACCTCCTGATGGTCATTAATGAGCTCAGCTCGCATTCCAGTTACACACTGCAGTGGACACAAACAACAAACCTCACTTTACAAATCTGGCGACTGACAGATAGCTTATGTATTGTAAAGAAACAGTTGCTTAATCTCGCAACCAACTCACTCATGGTATTTTTGTAAGTACAGTCAAAACTTTGTCTGAACTTAAAATTTTGCTTGCACACACTCATTGTGGATTATTATACAATGCAGCAACTTTTTCAAAATTTGATTTAGATTTTTAAAAATTTAATGCTTAAATGATTTTTCACACATATCTTCCTTTAATAAACAAGCTAAAACTCTGAGAATTTTACTGTTTGCACCTTCAGATACAGCAGAAAATATCTTTTAAATGAAGTTTACATATGAGATTTTACAATAAATTATGATTTTTTGATAAAACTGCTAGATTTTTTTGATCGAATCATTTGACTGATAATGTGTCATTGAGAGACTAAAAAGCTAATTAAAAAAAAAGTTTATAAGCTTTTATTTAAAATTCATAAAATCATTAACAAATTAAAAAGGAAAATGAATTTATCATACACTTTAATGGGAACAAGAAAATAATTATCTTTACAAAATTCATCAACAATTTTACATTGCAGATGAATTTTGTGAAGTAAATTATTTAATCTTTTCTTTGTATTATTATTCAAACTTATTTTCCCATTATTGCATGAATTTAGTTTTGATTAACTTACATTTCATTCTACATCTGAATAGGCTATATTGATTAAACTGCAAAAAATTAAGCAAATTATTTAATCTCTTCTTCATATTATTATTCAAACTTATTTTCACATTATTGTATGAACTCAGTTTTGATTAACTTATATTTCATTCTACATTTGAGTATGTTATATTCATTAAAACTATACAAAACATTATTGAATTGATTTCAAAACAAATCTACTATATATTACACTGCCAAAATATTAGAAGCAACCTTTTTTTTTTAATATAGACCTATCTGCCAATGACATTCAATAATATAACAGCCAGAAATTGCTTTATACGTTCTGCATTATATTAACACATATTATTAAATCGTAACAGAAGAAAAGATTACCATAGAATTTTACACTAAATTTATATTACTTTATACAAAATTTTAAGATTATAAAAAGCTCTTTCAAATAAATACTCACCAAAAGACTTTTTGGTAATACTCTTGGAGAGTAACTTGAACATAAGCCATGGAGCACCAACAACTAAGCCAATAAAAAACAGAAAAGGCCATGCACTTTTGTTTGTACCCTCAGTAAAAGGTGATGAATTGGAAACTGCTTCTGTTGCTGATCGCCAGGCAGCATCAACAGAGGGATTATCTTTTTTCAGTTCTAAAATGTGTTAAATTATATCACCATATTAAAGAAAAGTAAAATTTAAATTGAAGAATAATAATGTAGTAAAACAGTTTGCAAAATACACAATATTTTCAATCACGAAATTATAGAATGAATATAATGTAACAAATATTTAAAAAAAACTCACTGGCACGTGGATAAGAAAAACTGGCTTCAATGGATATTTGATCAACCAGATGAACAAAAATATATTCTAAAGACTGATGAAAAGTGTAAAATCACCATATAAATCAAACATTCTACACTATAACAAATGCATACTTACATTGGCAATTTCGTACTAATAACTCATCTGCTCAAACACCAACGCAAGGACAAAATTCTGGACTAGATGATCACGTGTGATGAAAAGTGGATTTACTTCAGCAACACACGCCAAAAAGGGATTGGGCTGCACTCAATGAGCCTGTTGGCAACATCGCAAAGTACAATTTGACTAACAAAAATATCATGCTTTGTTCCTGGTGGGATTGCCATGGTATTACCCACAAAGAGTATCTAGAAAAAGGTAAAACCCTCGACAGTAACGTGTACAGCGAGATGCTAGTCCGTGTTGACGCTGCTATCAAGGAAAAATGTTGAGCTGAGCTCTGAAGCAAAAAAGGTAATGTTCCATCAAGATCACGTGTCTGCATTCACCTGCTGGACTCTGCACACTCGATTGGGATCTTTTGCAACACCCATCATGTAGCCCCCCCTCCCACTGCTCCTTTGGACTTCTACATTTTGACACATTTGCAGCTACATTTTGCTGGTGCTATCTTCCATTCTGCATAGGACATCTGAAATGAGGTTTAATCTGTTTTTGGACTCGCAGCCACCACATTTCTGAACCAAAGGCTTTAAAAGACTACCAAAACGTTGGCAGAAAATCTTAGATTTGGGTGGTGACTATTACCTGCACTAAAGGTACTGCTGTATGATTTGGAACGAAAAGGAAAAAGTGCATTAATTGACTGGTTTGTAAATGAAGGTTTATTTAGTAGCAATTATAAGTGTCCTGTTTGTAGGAAGGAAATGCGTATGGTTGAACGTCGGAGGATATGTTTTACTCTTATTTTTGTGAATTTATGCGACGCCACCAATATACACAGATAGTCTTAGGAAGTTTTTGAATGCTGTTAAGGAATTTTGTGTGCCACAGTTTGAAGGACTCTGAAATTTCTAAATTTCTAATGAAGGTACGTGGATATTTGCTTTGTGTAGTGCTTAGATGCATAAGATGAATTTCCTTTTTTATGTTATTTTATTGTTTGATTTTAAATGCAGTTTATTGAGATTATGTATTTTTTGTTTGGCTCTACTGTAGAACTGGGTGCTACTTTGACTTAAGTGAAAATACCCCTTGACTTCGATGCATAAGAAATCAAGGAAGTGCAAAATGCCAAGTTTTTGCAATTCTCTGTTTTTTTTTTTTTTTTTTTTTTTAAGTGAAAATAGGTCGATGTGTACATGGATACTGGAGCTTGTGCAATTCTTTGATTTGTTATTTTGCAATCTTTGATTTGTTATTTAGCAGTGATTTTTGGCACAAAAATCGGTGCTACACGAAGCCAAAATAACAAGTTAAAGAATTGCACAAAGTCATTATCCATGTGTTGCCAAAAATCGCCAATTTTTGCTAAGGGGCACCCGTAAATATATTTTTATGGAAAGCTAAGATTACACATCTTTATAGGAGGCAATGGTGGCCGCCTATTAGGTGCTTCCATAATGAAATGCCCACCACTTTCGGCACCTGTAGTAATGCAAGGGTAATGGCTATTAAATAAAGTGTCTGGCCATAAAAAAAAAGGGAAAAAAAATCTGAACGCTTTCAGATTACACCTAAAGAGGTGTTTTTGGATGTTTTGTACGTTACCTTTACTTATTAAGCATCATATTCTTTGGACTTGAACCATAAAATTAAGTTTAATAGCATTATCACAAAATATTTAAAAGAACACATCTTTAGAATTTCCAATACACAGTCTTGTGTTCTGGAGATAAAGATTTCCCCCCCCTGTACTGTTTTGCCTTTGCTCGCTTTGTTATGTATGAGTTAGTAATAAAAAATTCTTTAATGTTTGACAAAATATGAAATAGATAATAAAACAAATTCCAAATTTGAGCTTCCAGATGTTCATATTTGAACGAAGAACTACGCTATTCAAAATTGATTTTTCTATGTATCGTTGGTTTTTCACTGTGCGAGTAAAGTACACATATTCATGCAAATTCTTCATTATTTAATTTCTTTAAACATAATGGAATTTTATATTAACATACTTGCCAACTTATGACATTAAAAAATCGGAAGAATTCTTTTTAAGAAATCAGGAGATTTTTCACAATGTTAAAAAGACTTTTTAAATTAAACTATAGATCTTAATAATGAATTAACTTTAAATAGTTACTAATTTTTAAATGCAAACAACACAAAAATACCTTATATATAAAAAACATTTTTATTACTTGCATCATTTAAGAAAACAAACAAACAAAAACAAAAAAAGACACTTTAATAAGTTTTCATACAAATGTTATGAACAGTGGCAGATTTTGCTTTCATTACAAAAGAAACTTCATAGTTTTGTTCACAGCAACTGCCACATAGGCCTGCTTTCACTAATAAAAGTTTTTCTAATGTGTCATCACTAATATTAGATCTAAATTTAGTCCTCGTTTTCGCAACAACACTGAAAATCCTCACACTCTGCATTACTATGGGGAACTGTCCAGATGGCCAACATAAATTGCGACTGCAATATATCAGTGGCAACGTCAATATCATCATCTTTCATGACTAAATGAAGAAACACAGGAAATCTGTTCAAAAAGTACCTTATATCAGAAAAAGATGCATTTGCTAGAGCAGAACCATCAGCAACTTTAGCATGCAAAATCACTTCAACGTTGACTGGAAATGTATGTAGTATGTAATCACATACTCGACAGAAGTAACTTTTAACATTAAGATAAAACTTATTTTTGTCTTCTTCTGAAAGTTCTTCAACTACTTTTGTCGTTGCAGTTCCTATTACCAAATCTTCATCTTTCTTCTGTTTTTCTATTTCACCATAAATCACATCATGTATAGAATTACAAGACAAAACACAGACTGGTTTTACAAACTTTGATAAAATGTCTTTAAACAGATCATAAATCATTGATTGCAAAACAATGAATTAATGGAATTCTGCTTTGTAGAACTGTGTTAAGAACATTCGAATGACAGCAAAATGAATTGTAAACAAAAAAGCAAAAGAGCTTTGTTAAAGGTTCCGAAGAAACAAAAACATAAATATTCATTCTTCACAAGATAAACTTGCAGTTAATCGGAAAATGTTTCCCTGTGTTGAGCAATTTTTTTATTTTGAGAGAAATTTGTATCAGCTTTACGCTTATATTTTGCAGTATTATTTTGAGAACTGCCAGTTGAATTGCTGAATGGTGCAGAAATTACTTCATTTTTCTCAAACCTATTTTTAACAATGGAAATAGAAACTACATCTCCATTTACTTTATTTATTCATCTCCATTTAGGTATTTTATAACTTTCAATAGAGCCTTTTATTTTAACTCTCGAAGCATTTACTTCTTTAAAAAATGCAAGAAATGGGTTCCATTGATCGAGGATTCTAAATACAGGGTTGCCACTCAAACAGGAGAATGAAATTCCCTGACTTTTCCAGGTTTTCCAGGTATGTTTCGAGAAAATTCCAGTCTATCCGCATAATGTACGTTGGCTGTGCTAAGAGGTAAATTAATTATGGTATTACTTGTACTGTGTAGCAAATTCACTTAATTATTCAATAAATCCCAGAGAACATTTATTCTTAATTATTTTTGGTACACTTTGTTTGATAATTTTGTTTACTTTTCCGCTTAAAAAACTTAATAAAATTTAAGATATATACATTGGATAACAACTGTACGTTTTATTTAATTATTACTCATGATCATCCCCAGTTCAACACAAGGCTAATCCGGTTCTTATAAATCACAACGCAATGCTGTTAGGTTAGATTTTAGGTAAATTTAATTTGTGTGAGGTGTATTCTTAAAAGGCACCTTAACACTTGAAAACACAAATATAATTATAATAGGAATTGTTTTCTCCACTGAAGATTGAGATTAGAATCTGCCCAATCTGGAATAAAATAAGGCTTTTTTTGCAGACATTCTGCAGCTAAACGAAAGAAAGAAATCTATTTAATGATATTTTTTTACTAAATTGAGGTATTTTATATTTATTTTGCAGCATATATAAGGAAAAAATATGTGCATTCAATTTCGAGATGTCATCATACTGCTAGAATTAATTTCAGGATTATGCCAGAGAAAAAAATTTCCTGAAATTTGGAAATATTATTTACTAATGATAAATAAATTTAGAGGGAAGAAGCAACATTAAATGATATGAATAACATAAAAATAAAGATAATTACTTAAAAATTTAATTAGAATAATCAACATTATTTTAGCGAATATAGTTATATTACATGGTTATCCTACATGATTGATTACTATTTTTTTATTTTACTGCAAAATGACAAGGTATTTATTAAAAAGAAAAGAAAAAAAAAATTGTGGTAAAATCCTAGTACAGTCAAAAGTCGTTAATCCGGACTCGTCGGGACTTCGGCGATTCCGGATTATCGATTTTTCCGGATTATAGATCATCAGTTTAAATCTCGTAAGATGGCATGCAGAAATTATAAAAGTAAAAATATGAAACCATAATTTATGAAATAAAGAACAATTATGATCTAAAGGGTATCAAAATTTACAAAAAAAAAAGCTTAATATATATTTGTTTACTTTATTAAACATTTCTTTCAATGTAAGTTGTTTCAGTTGCTTTGTTTTTTATGTGATAATACATTCTCTTTAATTCTATAAACAGATATAATTTCTTGTCCAGTTACAAAGTTCCGCTGTTCAAGTCCTATAATTGCTGTGTCGAGAATACCGACTAATTTGTCAATCAAAATTTTTTTCGTTTTCAATAACCTATGTCACTTTCTTCGCTATCGAAAGCGAATTATAATGACGAGGCATTTGATTTAAATCGTATCAAAGACGGAGTACATCGAGATGAAATACTACATTGAGTAAGCAATTATAAGCCAAATAAAATAAAAACATCTGCCCTTAAGATAAGGGTAGTGCCGACAAATCAACTTCCAATTCATTGCACGCCGCCGGGGCGTTAAAGATAAACAAAGTTTAGATAAACAAACGTTAAAGTTTAGATAAACAAAGAATATGCCTTTATCCATTTTTTGCAGCAATTCCATTTTTGTTTAATGGACTCCGAAAGATACTTTCGCTTTGTATATCCTTTACATATTAGTAAATATGTATCGGAAATTCTATTTGACATAATTGAAAGTTCAAGCTTACTTTTATAAAATTGCTCTTACAGTCTGCAAAAAATAATAAGCCGGATCCAATTCGAAAATTAAGGAACAACGCAATCATCAACATTAACTGAAATAGATAATTAGACAATTTTAGCTTATACGTCCATTATAATAAAACGCGCATGCGAAAACGTATTCTGCACTTGCGCACACTCATATGCGCAGTTGTAAAGGGTCTTACGCACACGCGTAAACGCCTATGCGCATGTGTCAACACGGCGCATGCGCAGAAAGTTTTTAGTTTTGATGTCCGGATTATAGATCATTCCGAATTATGGGTGTCCGAATTAACGACTTTTGACTGTATACGATACGACCTTCGCATGATTTTGAAAATTGTCGCCAAGAACAAAATGACCCGTTTACTGCTCATCATCATTTTGCCAAATCCCACTGTACCATACATGGTGATTATTCTAACCAAAGAACGTCTATGTAAAAAGCGGAGGGAAAATTTGCTAAGGGATTTGGCGACGGAACCTGGCGGCCAGAATTTCCCTCTCCGCGATGTGTACAGGAAATTGAGAAACACGTGTTAAGAAGAAACGTTCTTTGACAAAAAAGAAAACTACGAAATTTTTTTTTAAAATTATTGCGAAAATCCTAGAAGAAACGTTTTATCAAAGAACGTTTTTTCTTGGATTTTTCGCAATAATTTTAAAAACGGATTTTCGTAGATTTTTCCTTCCCCTAAAAATAACTAATCCATGAATTAATTTACCTGAGCCAAAAAATATTTTCTTTTTCTTTAGAGTTTAAAGAAATTTTAAACGATATTCATTTTATGAACTCTTGATAACGTGACCTTCGAACTTGACACCGGTTTCAAGCTTTGGCTACAGATATATCGCGCATGCACAGCTGTTTCCCGCTATGATGGAACAGAGCCACGTCTGTTGCAGAGAGGTTTTTCTTCTTTACACTACATATTTTTTTATTCTAACCTTCATGGTACCGTATACTAGGATTAAACCCATTTTGTTTTATACGAGAACATATAATTTCTTTAGTTCATGCACTGCACATGCGATTCTCAAGGTTACTGGAAACCAAAAGTTGCGGGAAACTTGCTTTGCCTTTCTTAAAAAGACAATCAAATTGGAGCTGCGAAAATTGGCTCTATGCCAGCTGCCCGAATGACACTCACGTGATACACAATTCGCCAAAAAAGTGATCTCTTCTGACGTCGGCGCAAAACTCGCCTTTTTTGGCGGGATCGTTAAATGAAATTCCCCGACTTTTCCAGATTTTGACTAAAACACTTAAAATTCCCTGACTTTTCCTTGAATTTTTTTGGTCAATTTCCGAATTCCCTGACTTTTTCCGGTTTTCCAGGTAGCGTGGCAACCCTGTAAATAAGCATTTCTTTAAAGACGGCCATCGTGTACACACGTTTGAAAATTTTTCATTTTTATTATGCAGCTGTTGGAACTGTTTCAAATTTTCCTTCCTTTTAGAACTCCTTTCAAGATAATAATAAATAATGGAAGTAGAAACTACATCTCCATTTACTTCATGCACTGCACATGCGATTCTCAAGGTTACTGGAAACCAAAAGTTGCGGGAAACTTGCTTTGCCTTTCTTAAAAAGACAATCAAATTGGAGCTGCGAAAATTGGCTCTATGCCAGCTGCCCGAATGACACTCACGTGATACACAATTCGCCAAAAAAGTGATCTCTTCTGACGTCGACGCAAAACTCGCCTTTTTTGGCGGGATCGTTAAATGAAATTCCCCGACTTTTCCAGATTTTGACTAAAACACTTAAAATTCCCTGACTTTTCCTTGAATTTTTTTGGTCAATTTCCGAATTCCCCGACTTTTTCCGGTTTTCCAGGTAGCGTAGCAACCCTGTAAATAAGCATTTCTTTAAAGATGGCCATCGTGTACACACGTTTGAAAATTTTTCATTTTTATTATGCAGCTGTTGGAACTGTTTCAAATTTTCCTTCCTTTTAGAACTCCTTTCAAGATAATAATAAATAATGGAAGTAGAAACTACATCTCCATTTACTTTAGGTATTTTATAACTTTCAATAAAGCCTTTTATCTTAACTCTCGAAGCATTTACTTCTTTAAAAAATGCAAGAAATGGGTTCCATGAATCGAGGATTCTAGATAAGCATTTCTTTAAAGACGGCCATCGTATACACAAGTTTGAAAATTTTTCTTTTCAGTATTATGCAGCTGTTGGAACTGTTTCAAATTTTCCTTCCTTTTAGAACTCCTTTCAAGATAATAATAAATATCAACAATGTGTTCATACACATTTATTGGTAAAGAAGCTGCTCCTTTTCCAGCTGCTAAATTTAAGAGGTGACAGGTGCACCTCATAATCTGCAAATCTGAATTTTCTTTTCTTAAGATGCCTGCAACACCAGTCTTCAAGCCTACCATTACTGGTGCATTATTGGCACCAAGTGCTAAGCAATTATCCAGAGGGATTGCATTTTCTTTTAAAGTTTTAATAATTAGCTGTGCTATATTAAAGCCTGTCGAATGTCTTTCTAAAGTGGGGACAGAAAGAAAACTGTACTCAATTTCTGAAGACTTTGGATTAAAGAAACAACAATTGGACGCAGTTTTGAATCGGTATTATTGCTTCCATCCGTAGAGAGGCAGAACGGAGCTGTTTCAATGCAATGAATAACTGAAGATTTATTTTTCAAACCCATTTCTTTAACAACTGCACCTGGTTTTGGTCCTTGCACTTGAGTATTTCTTAGCGATTTCACAATCAGGAAACATTTTTCGAAATAAAGCTGCAGCGTGATCCGATGCATTCAGTGGCAGGTTGTGCTCCAGTAAAAAGGCAGAGAACAGACATTCTGCATTAATAACTTTGTTGGTCTTTTGTTTCCGAAGAAAATTTTAATTTTTCGTTTTTTCAAAACAACACATGTTGTCCTTGTGTTTTTGTGTACGCACGCTCATGTTTGGGAACATCCGCCCTTCCACCATGCGAAATCAAAAAATCGCAACGACAGACGGTACATATCGCAAATTTATTACATTTCCTTGTGGAAATAATGGAAGAAAATTCAACTGTGTATGATTTTTGAAACGTACATGAGTATTTCACCTTCTCGCAGACATAACAAAAGATAATTTCTAAAACTATTTCCCGAAGGCAAATGTACTCACACTACTCAGGACAAGATGAACGAAATAACTAAAGAACATCCAAATAACAGCCTTGAGCTTGCTTTGTGCTCATTGTCTAATACATGCCAGATAACATACAGTGGAGCTCGATGCCCACTGGAGAACTGGAGAACGACATTTCTGGATACATATGCTCTCACTCACAAAGCAAAAATTCTCATCTGATTCGCAACATTTTGTTTTAGATATAATCTAGAGAAAATTATATACTTTCAGACGTCCGAAATCACTTTTTTTTTTTTTTTTTTTTTTTTTTTTTTTTTGTGTGTGTGTGTTCATATAACGAAGTATTAAGCCAAGTTTCATAAAAATCATGAGAAATTTTAAGAATAAGAAAAAGTCGGGAGAAATATATTGTTAATCGAGTTGGCGGGAAAGCGGACGAAAATCGGGAGTCTCCCACCAAAATTGCGCGAGTTGGCAACTCTGTATTAATTATTAATATTTGGTGGTAACAATCTGAAAAGTGAACTAACATTTATTGTGAATCAACGCAAAATGCCAAAACAAAATTAATAGCTCTTCTGGGCAAACTGTCCCTTTGGGCTTAAAAAAAAAAAATATATCTTCATGCTATGGTGGCTTGAAAATCACAACTCCCCTTCCCTCTGACAAGTGCAGCAAAGTTTAAATTCAAAATTTGGAGGATGAGAACAATGTCTCTCTGAACATTTCAACTTCAAAATTAAGTGAGAAAATTTTAGTTTTCAGGTTTGTTACAATGTTTCATATCTCCCTGTTGCCACTATTTATTTCTTTTATTATATTTATTTCTTTTTAAGAAACTATGTTTAATTTCCCATCAAATTAAATCTTTATCATTTGAGGTGAGTAAAAGAATGAAGGTCTGTACCTGAAGGTATAATGCTATCATCTCGAAGTTTATTTATCACAACTAATTTTACAAGGAAGCACTAAATATAATAAACAATGCAGCATTTTCACGGTAATTTTGTAAAGAATTAACTTTACATAGTTAAAACACAATACTAAAAGTTTAAACAAATAAAACAAAAGTGGGTCACAATTATTACAGGATTCTTTATAATAAGCCACAAATATTTTCTCTCCGTTCTCACATTTTATAACATTTGCACATCCCTTCTCCTAGGAATAGTTTGTACATGACACAGAAAAAACATATAGTTAAATCTCATACATTTATATAAAGATAAATAGAAGATCTACACAGGTTTAAATATAGCTCAGAGATTTAAAGAGTATAAAATTGAAAAAAACTTACTCAAAATATAAAGTATTTTTAAACAAAGCCAACGCAAAGCCCGAAGCAAAGCCATCATGGATAACACTTCAGCCAAGCGATCTTTCAGTCGAGAAAACTGATCTACAACTCCAAGTATTGCACTGTAGGAACTGTGTACTGCAAAATAACATGACTCCAACATCATACTGATGGAACTCACCACTTCTACCAAAGATTCAACAGATTCAAAAGCTGGTCTAGTACTTTCTTCTGCTAATTGTATGAAACTGTTAGATGAATTGTCAATGGCACCGTATCGGCTATAAGGATATTGATGATATCCTCCAAAACCAGAATACAATCCTGAAGAGTATCGTGAAAAGGGACTATGGTAACTGCCATATCCTGACAGACCACCATACCTGGGTGAATATACAGGATCAGATCTCGGAGGAAGAGGTGGCGGCATACTTGAAAATTGATTGTTTGATCCTGTTGGATTCAAATAATGAGATGATAAAGGAACAGACTGATTTCTTCTTGTATGATTTATTGAAGACAAATTTCCAAGGGCATTAAGATTTCTCACTCCATCATTTGTAATATTACTCCTGAAATTAAATTTTAAAATTTTAACCACTTCTTTATATAAATAAAACAACAACATAAAGAAAAAGAACTTGAAACATAAAATAATTATAAGCTGAATATTCTCAAAATAAATACACACAAATAAATGAATTTCACATATAATATAATAATTTCATTTAAGGCTCTTCTACCATGACCTTTATCAAACCATCATCAAAGTTCTTCCAGATCGATGGCATATACTATAAAATAAGATAGTTGTACAAAGAAGTAGCATTGTTAATCGCTTTTACATAAATAATCATCAAAATTGTAAAATTTCCTGTGGTTTAAAAGTCAGTCAATGTACGTGTCAATGCATTAGTGGGCTTCATTCAATATTTTTGACAATTAGTTCTTACCTGGCCAGCTTATTTTAATACAAAAATAAGCTAAAACTTTTGTCACTAGAAAAGTTGCCACCTTAATGAACTTTATAAAACAATATTTGATTTCCATGCAAGCCTTGAAAAAGAGGTCTGCTATTGCATTCTGTTGCTTTTCCTTCCTTCCCAGGCTTTTATTCCAAAGCCTTTAACTTAAAAAAAAAAATAAATAAATAAAAAAATAAAAAACTTTTCTCTAACAAATTTCATTTAAATTCTATACAGTCAAAAGTCTTTAATTCGGACTCGTCGGGACTTCGACGATTCCGGATTATCGATTTTTCCGGATTATAGATCATAAGTTTAAATCTGGTAAGATGGCATGCAGAAATTATAAAATTAAAAATATGAAACTGTAATTTATAAAATAATGAGCAATTATGATCTAAAGGGTATCAAAATTTACAAAAAAAGAAGCTTAATATTTATTTGTTTACTTTATTAAACATTTCTTTCAACGTGCGCATGCGTAAAGCATACCCTACGCATAGCCGGAATTAGAAAATTGCAACCAGAAAACTATTTGATTTGTATTCGTGATATTTATAATGACGAGAAATTTGATTTAAATCATATCAAAGACGGAGTACATCGAGATTAAATACTACATTTAATAAGGAATTATAAGCCGAATAAAATAAAAACATCTGCCCTAAAGATAACGATAGTGCTGACAGATCAACTTCCAGTTCATAGTGCGCCGCGAAACAAAGAATATGCCTTTATCCATTTTTTATAGCAATTCGTTTTTTTTTTTTTTTTTTTTTGATGGACATCGAAGCATACTTTCGTTTTATAGATCCTTTGGGAGCTCCAGCATCCTAAATTCTATTTGACAACAACGAAAGTTCAAGCTTACTTTTATAAAATTGCTCTTACAGTCTGCAAAAAATAATAAGCCGGATCCAATTCGAAGATTAAGGAACAACGCAATCATCAACATTAACTGAAATAGATAATTAGATAATTTTAGCTTATACCGTTCGTTTTACATTAAACGCGCAAGCGAAAACGTATTCTGCGCTTGCGCAGACACATATACGCAGTCGTAAATGTCTTGCGCGCACGCCTAAAACGCTTATGCGCATGCGTCAACGCGGCGCCTGCGCAGAAAGATTTTAGCTTTGAGGTCCGGATTATAGATCATTCCGGATTATGGGTGTCCGAATTAACGACTTTTGACTGTATAACTATTGAGGATTTTAAAGTGAAGAGTGAGAGAGAGAGTACCTATCAAAAATAAATGAGGAAAACTGAAGATGAAAGTTCTAAGTACTATTCAGATTATCTGAATTCCCCTCTTACCAGCGAACATTCCTATCCTAACGCAGAAGCGCAAATAACCTAATTCAAAAATCAGAAACTTATTTTTTAGAAATCAGGACAATTTGCAACAATTTCACATACATACATCTTAGCAATTTTTACATTTAGTATGGAATTATAAGCCAAATAAAATAAAAACATCTGCCCTGAAGATAAGGATAGTGCTGACAGAATTCATAGCGTGCTGCGACGTTCGCCCCCCCCCCAGAGCAGCGTGAAATTGATAAACAGATTTCGGAATGGTTAGAGAAACAATGGATATACCTTTATCCATTTTTTGCAGCAATTCCACTTTATGTTTGATGAACATCGAAACATGGTAGATCCTTTGTTAGCTCCAGCATCGGAAATTATATTTGACATAATCGAAAGTTCAAGCTTACTTTTATAAAATTGCTCTAACAGTCTTCAAAAAATAATAAGCCAGATCCAATTCTAAAGATTAAGGAACAACACAATCTGCAACATTAACTGAAATAGATAATTAGATAATTTTAGCTTAGCTTATACCATCCGTTATACATTAAACGTGCATGCGTAAACGTATTATATGCATGCGCATGCGCAAAAGTATTACGCTCATGCGTAAACGCCTATGCGCATGCATGAACGCATTATGTGTTGACGCATGCGCAAAAAGTTTGCAGCTTTGAGGTCCGGATTAACGACTTTTGACTGTATACTCTTCTGTTATCAGGACTGGATTAAGAAATGTATATATGTATGAATGTATACAGGGTGTATCAGTACAGCGGTGACACACTTTCAGGAGAAATCGAGTACATCCAGACGATGGGAAATTACATAGCAATGCATTGTTGGAAATGCTTTCCTGGCGCGGTAGTGACAACACGAAACGCAAAAAAAGAAAGCCACAAACATGTTTTGGTAAAATTTTACAGTTGAGTGCCCCTAGTTTTTTTGGCAAGTCTTTTTTGACAGCAAGATAGGTGGCAGGAAGGAACGATTTCAAGATGTCTGCTACACAAAACCAAAATAAGAAGTCAAAGAATTCAATAAACTCGGTGTCAATGCACACAATGATCTATTTTCACTTAAAAAACGGCTAATCTTTGGAATATGGTAACAGGTAGTTTGGTGACATTTTGGTAAGGCGATAAAGGTTACTAGCTAGGACTTTAGCAGTGTACATACATGGATAAAGACAAGAGTGTGCGCAATGCCTTTTTTGTGCAATTCTGGGATTTTTTTTAAGTGAAAATACGTCGACATATACATGGATGGCACCATGTATGTGCAATTCTTAAAAACACGGGCAAGCAGTGGGCGATTCTGCATTTTCTCCCAATTTTGCACCTAATCTTCGTCATGATTAAGCACTTTTGTTCCATAAAAGTTCTAGCATAAGCGTAATTCGGCTGGCAGATTGTTAGGAAAAATGTTGAGTTAAAAAAAAAAAAAAATGCCTTTACTTCGTGAAAACAAAATGGCATCCAAAAAAAACTAGCAGGTTGCTGTAGCAGGGTTGGTCACCAACTTTTTGCCAAAAAATCGCCAAGTTACCATAATCCGAAGATTAACCAAAAAAACATTAGAGAATTGCACAAACTAGGAACTGTCCATTGCTTTAACTATGCCCATGTACACATCAATCTATTTTCATTTTAAAAAAATTAGGAAGCTAAAGCAAAGTTAAATCTATCATGGTAACTAGAAATGGGGTACTTCGGCAAAATGAACAAAATTTGTCACTTATCAAAGGGGCACCTAATTCTACAACAGAACCCCCATTTTATCATGTTTAGTACAGCTGAAACCTCCAAATAAGGGCAAAAACAAACGATTGTCATTAAAGAAGGTGTTCGAAATTACGACCCCCCGATCATGATGCAAGCCTCATTTCTCTGGAGCATGGAAGATGCATGACGCACGTTTCCTGCATCCTGGTTCAAGACGTAATTTCAAACACTTTCTTTGATGATGATTGTTGTATCTTATGTTGTTTTTTCTTTGTTTTTATTGTACTCCCAATAATAAACATGTTTTCTCATTCCTTCCGTGTCCTTCCTTTCTTGAGTTTTGTGTCCATCACTACAGTGCCAGGAAAGCGTTTCCGACCATGCATTCCTATGCGATTTCCTATCATCTAAGTGTATTCTATCTCTTCTGAAAGTTTGTCACTGATGTACTGATACACCCTGTATATGGATGTATGCATGTATGTATGTATGTGTATATATATATATATATATATTTCCTAAACAGTATTGATTAATTGATTATATTATCTCCTAAGTTTAATTAAAGTAGAATTATTTTAAAAGTGTGCATCCATACTGGTAAGTTATATTTTGAAAGATGTTTTGAAGTAATTTGAAAGCAAAATGTTAATAATGTTTTAACGGGGACTGGAGTTAAATCATCACAAAGAATAATATTTCAATTGTAAAAGGAAAAATTCAAACATGTAATTATTGTCATTGATCGGAAATTAGTTGACTTTTCAAGGGGAACAAACCAACTCCCGTTCAATGAACAATAATTGATAAAAATACGTAAATACGAAAGTGTTTCGTCTTTACTCGAGTTATAAGTTAAAGCCAAACCGGCAATTCTAGTCAGGCCAAATATTTCCGTGAATAGTAGGAATTATGAACCAATGCTGATACTCAAAGAACTTATTCTCATGAAGCATTTTAGTCAATTCAATTTGGAGTAAAAATCAATTACTGTAGAGAAATCCTGTAAAACTCAAGTAATCGTCCCCGACACTTTCATCTTTATGCATTTGATTACTATATTATTTGTAGAAATTAAACATTGGAAATTGTCATTATGAAATCGAATTCAAAGTAAAGTCGAAATAAACATAGAAGATTATAAAAAAGATAAATAATGCAAACTTTGTAAAAACAAATCAAAGAAAATACAAAAATAATATAAAAATAATATAGAAAATAATATAAATAAGATCAGTGAATGTACATGAAGATATAAAGGCCAGAAAGGCCTAAATGGTGGATTTAAGATCATACAACATTATATATATATATGTACATACATATGGTATGTGTGTGTACATATATATGCACATACATACAAACATTTCTAATTACGGTCCGGAAATAACAGAAGAATACCTACCTAAGGTACTTACATATTACCCCATTGCAGTCATTACTATGGAATCCTAAAGAATACAGTCATAACTGGTGCTAAATCGCACTATTTGGTGGGTCGATAGGCTAATACATAAGTACCCTACCGATAATAACTATTGGTATTTTTAGGGCAGCATGAAAAATAACAACTAAAAATGGCACTTAAGAAGCTATTATGAATTAAAGTTAGAATTTTATCTTATACAGTCCTTATCTTACACACATGCCTCCTTTTTGGGGGTCACACTTTTTTTTTTTTGTGTGTGTGTGTGTGTGTGTGTGTGTGTGAGACCAAGTGGGTCTAAGTGTAACCCCAATGTATTACATATGCCTCCTTTAAGAAAGTGGAGGGGGCTTGTTAAAAGCATTAAAACATAAAATAAAACGGAAAACTTAAACAATGAAAATTACAAATTAAAACGGAAATATAATTTCCAAAAGTTGTTGTTTCTTATGGCTTTCTTCAGAAATCAATCCATTTACATCGGACCACTTGTCGCCGTCCCTCCAAAAGAAAACAATAAATTTCAAATTGCATCATGCAAATGTTAAAAACACTTAAGAATCACAACACTAAAATCTTTAAAATACCAAAAAAATTAAGACAAAAATTTCACAATTAAAATCTTAAAAAGTCTTCAGTGATTACATTACAGATGAAGGCCGATCTTTACTGTACGGTACCCCTTGCTTTTTGTCTGAAAACATCGCCAAGTGGTATTGGTTGATCGTGAAATCCGGAAGCCTGCTGCATGAAACAGGTTTTTCGGTAATACTAATGTTGATAATGTTGACGAAACTAGCCTTGGGAAAAAATGGTCCCCCCCCCATTAAAAAGGGTTTATTTCTGCTAATATCGCCAAATGTGCAATGATAAATTTAGATTTCGGCTATTTTAAGTAATAGTAACTCTTTCGTATGGACCCAGGTTTTTGGTTCTTATTATTCTTTTCATTTGCTATATTTGGTTGCACGTACGTGGCATGGTCTTGTATTTTGAAGTTGCTATTGTTTTGCTGTGGATACCATCATTTTAGTATTGTCTGAGGTGACTAAGAGAATGAATGTTGATGGGTTGGATTATAATAAAATTGTGAATTTGAGTTTTTGTATGTGTTGAATGATGGACGAAACACGTTTAATTTTTGTATGAAAGCTGGTTCAATTGGTGACAGATAAGAATGAGCCAATACGACAAAAAATTTATTTGAATTGCTTACCTGAAGGATGGAGGAGATGGTGGGAAGCCTAAACGTATGCATGTGAAAAAAAGGTATGTTAAAAAAAATTGACATTTCATTTACTTATTTGTCTCTGTGTGTTATTTTTTTTTAAAGATTTAATGTTTTTATGTTGTGAAATATGTATTTTTGGTTATTTATTCCTCTCTGTTAGTGTATTTTTGGTTATTTGTTCGTGTCTATATGTTAAGACAGCGGAGAATTTTTTCTGGTTTTCATGATAGTTGTTAACTTCATTTTAGCTTCCTGACTTTGTTTAAGTGAAAAGAGATCGATGTGTACATGTACAAAGTAAGACAGTGTGCAATGCCTAGTTTGTTCAATTTTCTGATTTTTTTAAGTTACAATAGGTCGATGCATACATGGACACTGAGTTTGTATAAGCCTTTTACTTCTTATCTTGGTTTTGTGTAACGGCCATCTTGAAATTGGTGCGAATCCTTCTTGGCACGCAGTGACGTAGCTAGGGTGGGGCAAATGGGGGCATCCGTCCTCGGGCGCAGCATCCAGGGGCGCCAAATTGATGATACACATTACAGAATGAAATGTTTTGCATTCTTGGAACACAGAAAAGGGTATAAAATCTTTAGATGTCCCCGGGTGCTGAAAACCTTAGCTACGCCACTGCTGGCACGAAAACAGAAATGAATTGCCAAGAAGTACCGTAAATTTTTAACGAGACGAAAGTAACCCTGTGCTTGGGACATAAGATCCCTGGCCATCTAATACAACTGCAGAGCATCACCATTATTTTTTCTAAAAGTATGAAATAAAATTTTGAGCATTATATTTTCTAAGAACAAACACAGTTCTTAAGAGTTCCCAGCATAATTTCAAGCGTCAGTACAATTAAGTAAGTCCTCATTTGTTCAAATCACTTAAACCAATAGGATTTCATCTTAATTATAGAGATTTCTTAGAATTCTTCTTTCTTTCTTAGACTTTGAGGAAAAAAAATTTAATTGCAGAATACTACAAACATCTAAAGGTTTACATATTCGTAACTTACTATTATAAACTACAAAAATCAGATAAAAATTACAACTTACCTTTTAACATCAAAAGTATTTAATACATTAAAATTATTGTGCAAGAAACAGGTATATCAGTACATTGTATATCAGTGGTCCATTCCGTTTTCTTACTAATTTTATATACATGTTTTCAATAAAATTTTACATTACCCTGAATGCTCAGTTTAAAATATCTATTTGCTAATATCTACATAAGCATTTTTTTTTTTTTTTTTAATTTGGCAATTTAAAGAAGAATATGTAATTTTCCAAAGATATTTTGCAACTATATTAAGAACTGTATTAAAAGGTTAAATACAATGTGCATGAATAGAAAATGTTCTTTTATCACCAAACAATATATTTTATACACATAACAACTAAATGCAAGTAAGTAAAACTGCACTGAAACAACAAATGTAGATTTTATGCACATCAAAATCCATAAAAAACAATTTGAAGAATTCTTATATTAAACTATTTACCAACTTAGTTAAGTAATCACAGTATCATTTTATTAAATAAGTTTATTTGAATGAATTTTTTATCAGATAATTAAAATACTCTAACGAATAACTTTTCCCACTAATGAATTTGCATTGGCTTCTGACTTTCGTAAATAACATAACGAATTATTTTTAGTTCTAAACAGAAGAAATTACAGAATAGAAGTATTTGGATATATTAAATGCACGTAATGCATGAATATATTTCTGAGTGTTATGCACAGACGTTTTTATACCTGTGAAAAGATGAATGTATTTCAAGTACACTAATTAACAATTTTAAAAATCAAAACTTATACTTCGTATACGGTTGATGCAAAAATCTTATAAATTTTACTTAACAGTACCTTAAATGCAATTAGAATACATTTCTTGGAAAACTGTCGTCAACATCAAGAAATTTAAAAGTTTTCTAAATAGTCGCAGCTAAAATGGACTTAGAAAACAATCGCTTGCGCAAAACAAAACTAGAACAGTTGCGTAAGGATTACCAGTTAAAGTCTTACTTACCTACCATCAAAAATTTTTGTTTAGGGAATTAATAGCGAATTTAATATACTCCCTTAGGCAAATAATTAACATTAAATGCATTAACAAGGAAAATTCATACTTTTCCTTGTTAATGCATTTTCTATAAAGATAATATACGAATTAGCTTACATTCGACACAGCTGATCGGAACAGCAAACACTTCCTCTATAATTAGGTGTTTTTGCAGCCATTAAATAAACATATCATAAAACATTATTTTCAAAATAACACCTTCTCATCCTAAATTACGCACAAGATTGCCGAGATGAATATCAATTGTAGCAATCTTGCTAAGCAAAGAGAAAGGAGATGAGGACTGTGGCGAACGCCGTTTCCTCCAGTCCGTGAGGCTTGGTAAGTTAAGACGTTGGCGAGTAAACGACCGAACTTCGGAATGAGATACATTCAGCAAGAGAAGAAGAGGAAAAATGTGGCACGTGGTTAACATCCGCATGTGCTAGTCGATAGCAGATATTTCGCTGATATTCAATGATTTTACGAATTAAGAAATTTATAGCTATTGCAAGAAATTAAAAAATACGCTCGCTTAAATGATTTCTCTTTCCTTGATGTCAACAAGAACGGTTATTTGTTATTCAAGGAAAAACATGTGAAAAATATTTGTTTCAAAGTAATGCCAGATAGCACGGTACGCATTTTTCACAAGTGCACATCAGCGTAGCCACTAAGGGAGGGGTTTCGAAAATGGACCATTGAGCTGCTGCTATTGCTCTTATGACGCTAAATCTTGCATGTGAGCGTATGTGTTTACGTTTTAATTTGCATTTGTTTCGTACTTATAAATATATGTCGTAAGAGTAGAAAATATTGTAGTGGTTTCATTTTCTGAGTTTGATTAATCGCTGACATTTCACTTTCGCTTTTTTTTTATGACGAATTAATATTAGGTTGATGTTCACGGCATATTATGTGGATTAAGAGAATTCAAGTGTATATTTTTTTTAAACTGAGCTGAGATTGACTGGAAGTGTTACAATGATTCTTCTGTTTTCTTATTTCAGTGCTTGCATTCTTTTGATTTCTAAAGTGAAAGATTCAGAACACATATAATCTGATTATATCCATTGTTAACATTAAAAATTATATGTGAATAAATTGAATATACTCGTTGTGAATACGATAAATTCACTCTGTTTGATAAGTATTTCTTGTATAGACAGTACATTTAAGAGTGAGCATTTATTAAATGTGAAATTTAACGCACTAAATGTACACGAACGTAAATTAGTAAAGTTTACTTTGAATATTTTTTTGGTATATTTAATTATGGCAAAGCACACGAGGGCGAATATACTCGTTGTGAATACGATAAATTCACTCTGTTTGATAAGTATTTCTTGTATAGACAGTACATTTAAGAGTGAGCATTTATTAAATGTGAAATTTAACGCACTAAATGTACACGAACGTAAATTAGTAAAGTTTACTTTGAATATTTTTTTGGTATATTTAATTATGGCAAAGCACACGAGGGCTATCTGCCTAAAGGGAGGGATGCCTTTCGTGGAGGACTTTCTAAGGGAAACTGGCTCGTATACACGTTACACATGGGGAAAACCACGAAACGCCCATGCAGCCAGCCCGTTCGCGGGATTCGAACCTCAGACCGAACTACCAGTGTTCAGCGTCTTTACCGCTCGGCCGCTGGTGGGCCCCCCCCCCCCTTACTTTGAAAAAATTTTGCATTGGTTATTATAGAACATCTTTTTCATATAGACTGCAATAAAAAGTCTGACTTTTATTTACATAATTGTGCCTTTATTACAATATTTGGTCGCATCTTTTTCTAATAGATTGCTTTTGGTCAGATTGTTTGGGCTCAGTTATCACTATTCTTTCTTCATCTTTTACCACTCTTACGTCAATATTTTTATTTCACCAGTCCACATTGTCTGTACTTATTTCAACCAGGTAGTGAAAACTTCATATGCCTATATTGATCTAACTTAGCAATGAAAAGTTTCAGAAGCAATCGACGATCTGTAATTATTTTGTACAGAAAATTGCGCGGCAGAATATTTTCAACAATCTTCCTAAAAACACGCGAAAGGTCATGTGACATGACAGAAATATTACTGGATGCTCATTGGTTCATCCTAGAAACCACTCCCTCGGTGGCTACACAGATGTGCCCTTGTGAAATACGCGCACGGTACTTATAACAAGCTGTGTTAAGGCCGAAATGAAGAAATGAATTTTACAGATAACTGAGTCCCTGATACCGGAAGTTTACCGAAAAATGTGTACTTTTTCCCATGATGCCTTTCGAAATCGCTGATGCAATGTAAGGTTACCAGAATAAATTTTAGAGCCAAGTGCATTGTTCAAAAGTAGCCAAGCTTTTGTTCAATCTGTCTTTGTTCGTAGTCGTATTATTAATATTAGGTCGTTCGCGTCGTGAATACGAATTGAAGAAGTTTACCACAAAGTTGACCCTTTTAAAATAGAAAAATTAAAAGTTGAGATGTATAGAAAGGCCAATAGGTTCGTAGGCATAATTATTCCTATTATGTAAAAGAGCTGCTTTGAGGAAAACTGTGAGAGAAAAAAAATTTTAAATTGATGATGCTTAGTGAATTGAAACTAGTGCCATATTTATTCTCATTATTCAAAACTGCTTTAGGAAAGATTTTAAATGAAGTATGCTATAAAATTAAATATGTTATTAATATGTTGCTTTAATAGTTCATTAATACTCTTAATTCAGTTTTGTTCATCAGGCTTTTGTAATATTTAAATTAAACTGTATATTTTTATTAAACCAAATAAATATATATTAATATCTTAAAACTGTTAAAAAATAAACTTAAAAAAGTTACAATAACATTTTTTTTTAATATCATTTGTTAATTTGTTGTCCCAAGTAAAACTGAGAATGACTAAGAACTTTAAAATGTTCTGGTTTATAAACCCATTTTATACCGTAAATCAAAATATTGTATTAAGAAAATACAAAATTTGAGAACAAACCTTTAACAGAAAATTTAAATAAAACTCTACTTTTGAACATTGCTGTCTAAAAAAATTTTTTTCGGGGGGGGGGGGGGGGCTCCTGTGTCAGATTCCCAAAAAATTAATAGTTTTATTTAAAATCTCTGCCGATTTATGCATTGTCATAAGAGTTATCATAAAGTCATGCATAATTTTGCATAACATCTGTCTATATGCACAGAATAAACGACTTCTTTTCCAAAAGGAATTTTTTCAATGATTTCTGTACATACATATGTATTTATCTCACATAACTAAAAAAGATTATCCGTAGAATGTTTATTGTATATGGGACTGCTATAGTTGTGCATCTCTCTTTTTATTGTAATTGCCAGAACCAAATGTGTATATATACACACACACACACCTTTACCTAGCCTTAATTTTCACAATCATTGGCCCTAGTCTATACTCCCAATTATCATTGAAATGCTTTAAATGATGAAAATAGTTGTGTTTTATCAATGTAAAACTTTTTTTTAAAATTATTTTGACAAATAACGAAATCTATTTTAATGCGATCTCCAGCTTCCTTATGTCTGCAAAAATATCTGGGACATTTTTATACTCATTATAAAAAATGAAATTATGAGAAGTTTGACTCCCATGTGACAAAGACTGAGCAGTGTTTTAAATTTCAAAATCTGCAGTTTTTGTATAATTTAATAAGTAATGTGATGTGCACATCAGATTTTGCATATGTATTTTAGAATTTTATACTCTTTAATTTACATCTAGTAATAATGTATTAGATTGAATTAAATTTTATAATATATGTTTCTGGTGTTATTTTTATTTTAATGTTTGAATTTGTGTTGAGTCAGAATACATACGTGTGAGCATCTCAGTTAAAGGATGAAAATATGACTTTTTAAGTAAATTCAAAATAGTTTCATTCAAATAATTTTGAAACTGATAAAAAGCTTTCAGAGATTTGTAAAAATAATAATAATTGTAATTGTCTCCCGAATCCTTCTCTTGTAAACATTGTATGGTAAAAAAATCTGAAAATATTAGTATATATGATGTTTGAATATATTCAAATCAAATAGATATTTATTGAAATTGTTTTGTTCTAAAGAGTTTATATTCATAATGTATATTTTAGCATCTATAATCAGAATTACCTAAATCAAACTTATGTTTGTTTGTCCCTTCATAATAACTGATGGGCAACAGAAAATGAGCTTGTTTTAGTAATACCTGACAGATTGAAGGAAAACCAGCACCTGTATATCTAAGTGGGTACTTTTAAGTATTGCTGGGCCTTGCTAAGTACTAAGCTTCCACCCCAGATGGAATTTTGAGAAGAAGTGCTCTGAATGTGGTCAGAACGTCTCCTACCACCAACCTCTCAAGGATTTCGCCTCACCTTCTGCTTTTAGTGCTCCTTGCTAAACAACCATTACACACTTACATTACAACATCCATGCCTTCTTTGGGATTTGAACTCGAACCTTTTGGTATGGTAGGCAGCGTCATTAACTACTATCCTGTCTGGGTGCTACAGCATAGTGTTGCTATAATGGAAGATGTCTTGTTCTGTGAAGACATGAAAACAATCACAAAAGAAAAAGATGCCTTTCTGCATGTGAAGGAATTCTTTGTGAAGTATGCTCTTTTGTCAATCAAAACAAAATTCAGAAATCGCTTGGATGCAATAAAGTGCCACAATTTGAAAAGAAATATCCAATACACAGGAAAAGAAATAGTTATTAATTATTGTTTTGAAAAAATTATGTAAATATTAAATTTTGCAATATTTTTTTAGTTACATGTTTCATTTTTGTTTATTATTAAAATTTGATTACATAATTGTTTTCTTTTTTCTCCCCACCCCTAGAAACTTTGTTAGGGGCTGCAAGAACATAATAATTTTGAACTGCTAGATTGAACTGCTAGACATGGAAAAGTTTGGGAACCTGTGTCTTAGAAGATGATATTGTGAAGTTCAGTTTTGAACTAATAAAGAATACTGTATATGTACATATAAAAAAAATCTAATATCTATGTGAATATGTTTCAAACCTGTTTCTGAATATATATATATTTATTTATATTTACATAATACACTTAAAAAAAGGGAAAATAACTAAAGTTTTCATTTAATAAACTAAATATACATGCAGGAGTAGTGTTTGACCTACTCCACTCTCATGTAGACATTACTCATGCAGGAGTAGTGTTTGAGCCCAATACTGGCATATGTATATATATATATAGGAGTGAAATCATTAAGCAACTGGGAAACAAAATAATTTTGCCCTTTACAACATTAAATTTTTTCCATACATCTAAAGCATTCTTAGTTACATTGCTGTCATAAAATCTGGTCTAAATTTTTGTGAAATGT